TAAATAATAATTATAATAATAATAATTTGATATTATTATTATTAATTATATATTAACAGGGTGTAAACACACAAATTTTGTGGGTCTTTATACACATTTTATCTAAAGTTTTATTAATATTTAATTTAATTTCTATACGAATAGGATCATGTGTGACACACTGACTTCCAGTCAAGACGCCGCTACCTCTTTAGCGAGGTTGTCCTCCGCCCAGAGACTCGTCCATTGGTTAACGCTAAGTTCTATTACTTGCACCACACTATTTTACTTCGGTTAGTCGCAGGAGTTTTGATTATGCTGCTCCCGGCTATAAAATGGCCTGCTGCCGGTGTCCTAACGCCACTCCTTTGTGTTACTCCTCCACCTATTTTGTCAGTATAAATAAACGGTTTTATACAAAACACCCCGAAAACTCAACCGAAACGCACCCGTACTGCTCTGAGAAGTCATTGTGGGACCGTGAAAGGTCCCCTAACCCACCTAATCAAGGAGGGACGTGTGACGGACCTCCTCGTGGACTTCTGGCGGTGGCAAAAATTTCCGTTGCAGTTTCTACATGTGGTGTAACTAAAATTCTTATTCTTTAAGTCAAACAATGTAGAAGTCGAAAAACATAATGACAACTAATATGACTAATATGAAACCAAGGACATTATAATACTATATATATGATATATTATAGACGGCCGTAGATGGCTTAACCCTTGGTATATTTCCAACCTTTAAAAACTGTAAACATACAAAAAAAGGGTTTTGAAAAGGTATTATTAAACAGGGTATAGATTTAATGTGTAATAGATCATTTCTTGGCATGTACAATATAACATAAAAGTCCGACATATTACAAGAAGGAGAGGGTTTTTACCGTGATGGCTTTGATCATGTATGTTGACCATCATTTTTTTTTCCATAATATATTGGACAATTCTTAACAAATGGAAGGGAAGAGATTTATCATAAAATTGTTTATAAAGTAATCTTCTAAAGTTGTTATTTAGTTATTTTTACTTAAAATTAGTTAAGTTTTCAAGTTAAAATATGTTATAGTATTTTTAGCATTACGTTAGAAAGAAACATTTTACGTATTTGACTAGTATTCAACTTAACGTCTCGAACTATTACAGACTTTAACTTGTATGTAATTTGGTTAGGTCATAGTAGTAGTAAACTAAGATTGAGTTATTGAAATAAAATGTTGTGTAGGTCACAAAGGGCCATCACTGAGGACAAGCCTACTGGAGCGGTACAAAGCCCATCACTGGTGTCCTAAAACAGAGAGTTCGCAAATAGTATAAGGGAGTTGGAATAACGAATTAGAATTGAGTAATGACGGAATACAACCTTTTGAATTTTGTGTTTAAAACCCGTTATCTTGGAGTAAAATAAAAACTTCTGTGATTGTTAACAAGTAGGTATTGGTAAATTTCATGTGTGCTGTTATTAAGTAATAGATCCACCCGTCGTTCTTTTGTAACTGTGATTGCTATAGTACGACAACGGACAGATCGCGGAAGACTTGCGATTTGGTTCCATAGGACTTTGCGAAACATGTTTTTCAGTTGTTAAATTTCTTTTTATGTTTCTTTCACCATACGTGATCTTAGACTTGACTAGTACTTGTGTGTAAGGTGGTGAACGTGCGTTGTGTGTGGTTTAGGGAGGGCGGCGCCCTATCGCCCCCTATTGGCCACCCGCCACTGGTTATGGTTACCGTGACTCGTCTTCCGTGGTGTTTACTGAGGCATAGCTTCTTCCGAATATTTCGTATTCTTTGTGGGGGCTGGCAGGGTTTTTCTTTCATTAACAGAATGTGGACTTTCATCGAAAAATGAGTGTGGGAGAATTCATGCGAGCCATATCAGTGTTTTCTTTAGAGGCTAGAAGGAAAAACGTCCCTAAAGTGTACGATAACATTTGAATGCAACCTTCATGGGTAGTAGTGGTATCTAGGTAAAACTTCTATTAACTGAATGATTGACACTTTTACCCGGGCTGACACTGTTTTTTGTAAGAATTTGGCAAAGGTTGCTATGTTTCCACATCTTGATGTAAATGTAATACTTGTTTCTTATCATCACACGACATAACTTAAGAGCTTTTTGTACAACCCAACCAAAAACTAAGTTTGTATCAACATTTTGCAGAGCTGCAGACCCAAAGTAAACAGCTGGGGCCTAATTTATAACGCCGTGCGTAGGATTCACGTGGGAAGGTTGCTTACGTAGTAGAAATCCAAAAAATAGTTACAGACATTTTCCGATTTACTAAACATTGCGTACCGGTGAGGAAGGTGTGTACAGCACTTCCTACGCCGGTTTCCCTTTATTAATCACAATCGACTCGAAACGCGGTGCAGCTTTTGCGGGCTTCATGTAACGCCCATATTTGCCTATAAATAGTCAAAGAAACGCCCATTCATTCATTTTGACTGACTTTATGAAGAAGGTAGCAGGAAATGACGACAGAACAGCTAACAAAAAACATCTCACACCGTGTCAGATTTTGGTTATTGTGGGGAGGTCGAGATAAATCATATTGTTTGGTGGATGCAGTTTGAACCAGAGTAGTAGCATGGAGGTCGGATCATCACCAAAATAAATAAATAAGTGGTCCAAAAAAGGTTAATGACAAAAAAAATACACATAGCCTTCCTCAGGCAGTGTGTTTGTACCGGGGAAAGGAGACACCCCCTTGATGATAAACTCTAAGAAATGATCGGGGAATCCCTCCGGAGTGGAGTCATGACGACTGGATCTGAATTATGTTTTCGTAGTTGGTGGTTTTTGTCCCAGCTGTCGATCAGCAGTGTGCATCGTCTCTGCAGCAACTCTATATCCACCAGTTAAAGGAAATACAACTAATGTGTTGCGTTATATTAGCTGTACAATTGACCACATATGGTGTTCTTAGTTTCCATACCTCCTGTGTTTTATGAGCGACTTATCAAGTCTTAGCAAACGGCATAAAACATGATTAAACGTGTTAGTATATAAAACCATGCTCGTATACAACCTATAGAAATGCAAAACGGCGTCAGTTTAGACGTAATTCTGTCCTCCTGCTTACCGCATCATTTATGAGAAAACATGTCATAACATTAACACAACATATTCGAGGTGGTTTTAAATAACATATCCGTATTTATTTATTTCTCCAATTTATGTTTTTGTGTGCACTGAGGAGTCTCAAACAGGCGTTTGTTAAATCTTTTTAAGATTGGCTTTGATCAATGTTTGAAAAATGAATTCTTCATATATGATAAATGAGAGGTAACATTATATTTATGGTATTATTTCCACATATTTCTCTCCATTCTTCCGGTGTCGCAGTTCTCCCGTTTTGTGCGTAGTGCGTACGCATGGGTCAGAGTTTGCGTTTAGGACCGCACATTTTCCCGTCAAGTTTGTTTTTTATAAAATCGCTAACATTGCTTAGAAACTGGCGTACGCCATGTTTTGAGCGTACGCACCGTTTATAAATGAGGCCCCAGGTGTTTGCCAATAAAAACAACAAGTTAATCATAATCACCGGTGGAGCGGAAATCGGAGAGCGTGTCCAGGCCTGCCGCCCCGAAGGAGACTGGTGGAAAAATGGGCGTAACACCTTCACCCGAGGGAAAAGAATCCAAGACATCCAGAGAGTCGAGATCCTCCACGGCACGCTGACCTCCTGAAACACAAACGGACTCCGGAGGATCCAGTTCATCCAGCAGATCGTCCAGAGACTTCTCCCCTGCCTCCACTTTACAGATGGACTCATTCCCAGCAGCAACGTTATCCAATAAGTCATCCAGGCAATCCAGATCATCCAGACCATCCAGCGCCGCGGAGGGCAACGGCAACTCTGGAGAAATGCTAATCCCAAAGGTCAAGTCTGGATGATCCAGGGCGTCCAGGGCGTCCAGGGCCCCAGTGTTGGTGCTGATGACCCCGCAGAAGGAGTCCAGGGAGTTGAGCTCGCTGACGGAGGAGCTGAAGAAGGCCGGGGGAAGCTGAGGGGTCGGAGGGGGAAGGATGAAAGGGAGGGCTGGGAATACTGCCTGGGTGAGGGTCTGTAAAACATGGAAGAATGAAACTGGAGTCATGATGGGTGAAAACAAAGGGGAATGGGCAGATTGATGTAAAGAACTATGAACAAAGTGCCCCAATGGCTCGATTTGGAGGTCGCATTTGAAGGTTTAAAAAAAATAAATAAAAAATGTTTTATTGTTTTTCATTTTTGTTACAATAATGACCAGACAAACAATATGAAAGCAGACAGGGTCATCCTGGGTAAAGATAAATGCTTACTATGTTGTAGAAAATATGATACATACATACATACATACAATACGTACTTGCACACACACATCTATACAATCGTATACACATTTTATCTCCTTAGATCAGGGGTCTCAAACTCAAGGCCCGGGGGCCAAATCCGGCCCGCGACTTCATTTTATGTGGCCCTGCAAGAGCTTGCAAAGAATATAATACGTTTATTATACGGTTACATGCCACTTTACAGAAGCAGGATGCCCATAAACTGCATGTCCCACAATGCATCTCGTTTTGTGACATGCGCACTGGAGAGACTTGCAATTATTTGCCCGAGACTTCTGCTTTCAGACGTAGTTAATTACTAAGTTATTATCCTATCCGATAATAATCCAATTCAGAGGCAATAATGTAATATAATACATTATTTTATATATATATATTATATATTTACAACCGGCCCTTTGAGTGCAACCATTATGCGAATGTAGCCCGCGATGAAATTGAGTTTGACACCCCTGCCTTAGATGCTCCAACAGTATGTGCATACGTGTTATTTAGATATGTAGGGCTAACAAAGGCAGGGTTACATCACACTATCAGGGTCTTTGGGCCTCTTTGTCCATGATTGACCTTTCGCATTTGAAGGTTTTGATGTATTATGGCGTTCATGTTCTATCGATAGTGACATGAGACTAGACACGGCCTAATATCTAGGGCATCTTGAGTGTTGTCTTTTCATGGTTTTTAAGGCTGTTTAACAGTAAAGTCATATTGTTTTTATATTGTGTCTGTCTTTTCAAGCTCACTTACATACATTATAAAAAATTCCACAAATAAAAAGCAAATCTGGAAGCATTTGTGAATATCTTTCCAACAGTTACAACTTTTAGAAAAAGCTTTAACTTTCCGCCAGAGTGTCATTCGGTCATTTTCGGATAGCCTGCTGATGAAGTTGTTTTCTGCACTATTCCATATTGTGATTTCGATAACATTTTGATTATTAGTACATCCCATTGCAGCAGAATCAGGTTTTACCTCAGTCGGGGCCTGCACCTCAGGGAAGTCGTCGAGCAGGCTGTCCAGGTCGTCTCCCATCAGCTCTGTGTCCTCTAGGTTGTTGAGCATTTCAGGAAATGAGGCGACCGCAGGTTGTCTGAAGCTGGGAGCTCGGGAGGGGACGGAGGACTGAGGCATGCTGGGAAAACTGACTGAAGAGAAGAAAGAGGGGCATTTAATTAGATCTTACTTGTAATTGATTTTGTACCATTATTTCAAAATTTTGACAGAGGAAAACATTCATTCTGATCAAGTCAAATCCAGAATTCCCACCTGGTGCGCAGCCACTCAGAGGATTCAAACCGTTTCCTACATGAGCAATGGATACCTGAGTGGGAGAAAAACAATACAATATAGGTACAATTAAAACAGATACAATGGGTTGTGGACAATATGGGTATCATATTTTTTACCAGGGGATAAATTAGGTTTTCTGACAGTTGAATAAAATTAAATAAAAATGTTTCATTAGCAAGAAGAATAAAAAAAAAAACCTGTATCATCTATGAGGTTTTCAAAATGTATACAAAATGTAAACGTTTGGGGTTTTGAGCCGAGTAGGAATCATTGTCATTAAATCTAATGTTGGAGAGGAACTTGCCTTGATGGCTTCAACAGTCGTGTTTCCGTTTGTGACCGCTCTCTTGATGAGTCCGCCTTCCTGGAGGAGAAACAACAACACACTGGTTTGAGAGACAGCAAATACAGAACAATGTGCATTATGTCTGCGTTAGAGCAAGGTGAAGATGCCGTGACACAACTAAATAAATCCCCTTATCAGAGATTTTTCTCCACTGTAGGAACCATTTCTTTAACACTTTTGGATGCTAATAGCCCCCTGCATTGCATATTTAATCAAAGAGGGTTTGGCATTAAAATACCTTCATCCAAAATGATATTGCTTATTGTTATATTAACATTAACGAGGAGGCGGCTGTGGCTCAGTGGATGGAGTGCTGGACTTCGAATCAGGGGGTAACAAGTTTGAGTCCCACTGCAGTCAGCATGTCGTTGTGTCCCTGAGACACTTCACCCCAAATTGCTCCTGTGGGGATTGTCCACAGTACTGAATGTATGTAAGTCGCTTTGGATAAAAGCATCTAACAAATGACATGTAATGTAATATTTAGGGCCGGGACTTGTTGGAGATTTTGAGGATGTTTAAAACCAACCTCGTCTCCGCGTGTCGTTTGGTAAGCTGGGTAAATTCGTAAAGGGAGGGATTAAGAAACACCAGAATACAAGTTAAACAATAATCTGCTTTAATGGTAAAACATACAAATACACTACCCAATCTCCTAATCACGAAGCACTCTGCAGAGTACTCCGGGCTCAGATTCTAACCCCGTGTGAGACAGGTCTCAGGAACGGCAAGTCAAAAACAAGAGCGCCGATCTTCAAAATGATCACAACATTTATACACAGAGTTCACTTCTGAGCGAGCTAGACAGTGAGTTGGCAGTGTTCCATTGGTCGGTTTCCCTTCTGGGCGGGATCCCAGGTAGTAAGTCAGTTTGTTGATTCCATCGTTTGCTTCACAGTGTATGTGTGTGTGTGTGTGTGTGTGTGTGTG